TGATGTAGGTCCACCTTTTGGCATAGCCCCCATATAATGCTACCTCCCTTTTTTGGTATTTTGGTGATTGTTCACGGATAAGTGAACATGTTTTTATAATAAAAGAGAATAGCGGGGCTACCTAGTGTAGATGAGAGGGATTTGTTAAATTGGGATCTTCTTAATACAGTCCACATGAAATAAGATAAGAAAATGTGGTGAGCAGACCTTCGAGTTAGAAATAAATAATACAGAATTTTCACTTGCTGCATGTGTTATAGTGGAGTTAGATTATGGGATGTAATCTTTACTCAGACTGATAAGCAAGTGCAGCATGTTTGCTTGTCACATGTGAGATAGCTATGCGTGTGTATGACCTCCCCCTAAGGTTTATGGTGGCATGGTGCATATGCATGTGTACGGTTGGTATCTATCTCTCTCTCTCTCTCTCTCTCATTTACACTTAGTTATAATTTAGGTTAAGTCATATTATCACAACTAGTTCTTAAGAAATGTTTTTAATAAATAAATTCAGTGTCTTACAAACGCTCAAATGATAAAGACGTTTGGTCTTTTAATTGATCCCAATTTACATTGGTCCACCGAGCCGGATCGGTAGAGGATAAATGTTGAAGAATTTGCCTTAACATCGAGGAAATTCTATCAGGCTAAAATTGGTCTTCAAGAGTGGAAAATTACCGAGCTAAAACTACAGCTGGAATTGTTCCCATACAGAAGAAATTTATAAGCCAAATAAAAGGATGCTGAGTCAGAAGGAAACTTCAGCACAGAAGACTGTGGTGGCGGTGCACACCGAGGGGGCCTCATATTTGAAATCTTCAGACAGAAGGGGTGATGCATATGCCCAGGAGGACGAATCGGTGAAACGGCCGCCAATGATGAAAATAAAGGAAGAGGCTGCCACTCTTCTCGAAATGATGGGTACAATTATGGAAATAATGAGTACCTTAAAGACAGAAGAAGCCATAGAAGGCGTATTTGACTTCGCCAAAGAAAAAATTATGGACGCGGCAAAAGACGTAATATTGTATCCAAGCGTTCATAGGCGGTTTTTAGAGATGCTTCTAAAGAAGTCCAAATTAGCCGCTGCTATCAGAGCAAGTCAGCCGAATGGGACAGCGAAGCTGTATTTGGAAGATGTTAAGGTCATCCTTAAAGTCTCGCAGGCTCTTAATGTGGAGACCAAAGAGAAAGTCCTTGGCTTGAAGAAACAAGTGGCCTGCATAACATCCGATTTGGACAGCGAGCGAGAGGGGCGCGAAGCAGCGGTAGCCGTAATGAGAAAAATGGAAGGTGATATTAAGGAAATGGAGTTTGCCTTGATTTCACAGAAAGATGAAAAAGAAGATGCCCTCAAACTTGTCTCCAAATTGAAGGAGGAAGTCGAAAATGCTGTGTGTGTAGCCGAGGATACTAAGGACAAATTACGAGCGGCTAATCAGGAGGCAGAACGCGAGGGCAAGGCGTTGAAGGCGGTAATAAGACAACTTAGTGGTGAGTTGTCTTGTGCAAAAAGAGAACGACTTGCAGCTGCAACCGAACGTGACGGGTTGGCTGCAGATCTAGAAGCTGGTGAAGAAAAAGAAAGAAGGATATTTCTGCTGGAGGCTGATATATTGCAACTTAAGGAAGAGTTGCTCATATCGCAGAAAGCATCCAAAATCGAGGCTGATGAATTGGCTGCAAAATTAGTGGTCAATATCAACGAAGATATGATGGTTGAAGAGGTTTATATGGAAGACCCAATTGCCGAAAGAGAATCAACTTTGGAAAAGGTAGATGAACAGCTCCCTGGAAAACTCGACACAGGGAGATTGGAAGAAGTCGAAGATAAGCTGTTTGCCAGCGAGATGAAAACTAAGAAGAAAAGCAATCTGCGTCGCTGGAATAATAAGATGCTGGAAGACGGTCAAGTTGTGATGAAGATGCCTAGTGGAAGTGGTGCAGCGAATAAAATACAAGCCGAGGTGACAGAAAATTATGAACGCTGGAACGATAAACTGTCCAAGGTCGGTGAGACGGCGCTTCCAGAGAAGGATGGAAAGTTTGGCTACAGAAAGAAGACGACAGATAAAAAGGATTCGGCGTGGAAATTGAAGCCGGGAGATAAAGGAGGAGGGATGTTCAAGAGAGCCAGGCAGGATAGATGGAGGAGTTACTTGGGTGCTATAACTTAACTTCTTTTCTCTTAAAATGTCACTTCTATTAGATCTATTTTATTGTTCATATTTGTAATTTTTATATTTTATATGTATTTTTGCCCCTGCCAAGAATGTTCACGGATAAGTGAACATGTTTTTATAATAAAAGAGAATAGCGGGGCTACCTAGTGTAGATGAGAGGGATTTGTTAAATTGGGATCTTCTTAATACAGTCCACATGAAATAAGATAAGAAAATGTGGTGAGCAGACCTTCGAGTTAGAAATAAATAATACAGAATTTTCACTTGCTGCATGTGTTATAGTGGAGTTAGATTATGGGATGTAATCTTTACTCAGACTGATAAGCAAGTGCAGCATGTTTGCTTGTCACATGTGAGATAGCTATGCGTGTGTATGACCTCCCCCTAAGGTTTATGGTGGCATGGTGCATATGCATGTGTACGGTTGGTATCTATCTCTCTCTCTCTCTCTCTCATTTACACTTAGTTATAATTTAGGTTAAGTCATATTATCACAACTAGTTCTTAAGAAATGTTTTTAATAAATAAATTCAGTGTCTTACAAACGCTCAAACGGAAAAGACGTTTGGTCTTTTAATTGATCCCAATTTACAGTGATTTAAGCTACATTATTCACCGGAAATGTTTCAAATTTGGTATTTGAAGTTCGTAACCTATGACAGAAAATTGTCTGTACAAGTCCACATCTTCATATAGCCCCCATATGACGGTACCTCCCGATACTCGGGATTTTTATGATTTTAGCGACATTATTCACCGGAATTGTTTTAAAACTGGTGTTTTTATTTAAAATTTTCAAGTTTCTTCAAAATGGTGGACGGTATTAAAAGTTCGGCCCGTCCGAACTTAGCTGCTTTTTTATTTTTTTAACAATAATCTGTAACTTTTATTGATTGAAAAGTTGTTAAATTTGTTGTTAAAAAACAAATGATTTTCTTAAGTAAGCAATGAGTAGTGTTGTTAAACATTTACCGAATAGGTAGAGATTTTTCACACTGGAAATTATAACAATTCTCTTCTTAACATTGGCCTATTTACTTACATCAGAAAATTCTTTATCGGTATCGTTATGACAAATTTATTACATCCTCTATAGTATGGTGGAGGGTATAAAGAAAGCCTTTGTATCCATATCAAAGAATAATATTTGCAAGGTCCAATCGGGATCGGAAGTTTATTAAACGTGCTTTGCTAAATAGGATTGCATACATTTCCAATTTATTATGTTAGTATCCAAAGTATATTACATGTAACTATCATCCCCTCTTATCCTCAACTTATTCAACTAACTATATTTTGTTTATCCAGTTTTTATTTTAACAGCATTTCATGTCATTTTTTAACACTTTTTACAAAAATGTAATCTTTTTTATACCCTCCACCATACTATGGAGGGTATATTAACTATGTCATTCCGTTTGTAACTCCTCGAAATACTCATGTCAGACCCAACAAAGTATATATATTCTTGATCAGCGTAAAATTCTATATCGATTTAGCGATGTCCATCTGTCTGTCTGTTGTAATCACGCTATCTTTCGAATGAACTGAGATAGATGGCTAAAATTTTGCACACATGTTTAGTTTTCCAGTAGGCAGGTTAAGTTCGTGAATGGGTCATGTAGGTACACGTTTTCATATAGCCCCCATATAACGGTACCTCCCGATATTCGGTATTTTGATGATTTTAGCGACATTATTCACCGGAATTGTTTCAAATTTGGTATTTGAAGTTGGAATTGGATACTACACCCTAAGACAGAAAATTGTCTATGCTGGTCCAGGTCTTCGTATAGGCCCCATATATCATTATTCGGTATTTTGACGATTTTAGGTACAATACCCACTGAAATTGTTTGAGATGTAGTATTTGAAGTTCGTAATGGATGCTACAGCCTGTGACAGAAAATTGTCTATGCAGGTCCAGGTCTTCGCACAGCTCCGATATAACGGTACCTCCCTACATTCTATTTTTTGATGATTTTAACTACATTATTAACCGTTTAGTTCAAGTTTCGAATTTGAGTGTGGTAATGACTTATGACAAACAATGCCTATGTAGGCCCACGTCGTATACACCTCCATATAACGGCTATATTTGGTATTTTTATTTTTTTTAACAGAATGTTTTAATGATTTTATTTTCTGAAAATTTCCAAACTCGTTCCAAATGGTGGAGGGTATTCAAAGTTCGGCCCGGCCGAACATACTACTTTTTAACTTGTTTATGTTTTAACTGTTTTTTACACATGTAGGATTTGCAATTATTTCTATCAAGCTGCACTTTAATTTATAAAATTTTGGCTTGTTGGGCAGTAATACGCAAATATATAAAAAAGTATCGCGTTTGACACGTCCGTAACTGTAATCATTCAACAAATTTGAACTCTGATTCCCTTATGATTCATTATTATATGACTTTAAAAATGAAAGTGTGTTCGGTTCTCCTAATTGCGAAATAACAATGTATAATAGAGAGCACAAGTAAAATATTCGTGTTAACAAATACTTGGTCTGTCCTCCTTTTAATATTGAAGCAGATGCAAACAATAATTTTATGATTTTTTATTATTTTTTTTTTTAATTTTAAACAAATGTTTGTTTAAAACATGAAGATCGCAATGAATTTCATAAATTTATAAAACAGCTCAAATGACATTATTTGTTTTCACTTTATTGTTATAAATATTTGCAATTTATAAGTATGGACTTCCCAAAATGTTCAATAAATATGTTTGTTGGGTAGTATTGTTGATGATACATTCACACTCATTCACAACCACACCAAGTTATGCACACATTTAGAAATACACTAACCTTCAAAAATTTAATAGCGATCTTAAACTCCCCGTCCAGAGAGGAAAAACACGTCCGCGATATGTTGTTACCGCTTGCACTGATCGAAACGAAATGTTCGAAACACTTGAACGAATGAAGTTGCATTCCGCCTTAATAATATCCAACAATTTCTGAAGTTCACAAGCACTCACTCACACTGAGCCACAAGTTTATTTGCTTTGATGTTGACTGGTTCTCTCTTCTCTCCGGGTATTTACCCATTTATTTCTCGCATGCTAGACAATTGACACGTAAAAATTCCTATCAATCTTTTTGGTTAATAGGGGGTATTAAGCGATAGTGCGGTCTTAGGTCTGCGGTTATGTACCAACAATGCAACATTGCTATACACATTATATTTAGAACAATTATTGTATAGTCAATGTTATGAAACCTTTCAACCACCACAAAAAAAAAACTGAGTACAGTTATGGACAAAAATTAAAATTGTTCACGAACATCGGTTTTAATACCCTACACCAAACTTTGGTCAGAATATTATATATGTTTTGCGCATTTGTTTGTAACATGCCAGAAATACCTTTGCCAAAATGTATAGTAATCGTTTCAGATTGTGCATCTCAATTGTAATATCAACTAAAAAGCATGGTAAAAATCGGTTCAGATATAGTTATAGCTCTATACTATATATGTTTTAACTTAAGAGTTCTCAAAGTCGAGAGACACAAATGGCTTCGTCAAGTTTTGTGACATTTAGTTGGTATGATTGGCTGCAAAAAATCCCTATATAGACGTTTTTTTGTTACGGGTAGCTCTACTAAACAAGTATAGTGGTGTAGCGTATCAAAAAGTCGGCCCGCACCACTTTCGACCTTTCTTTACTGGCTATAGAAATATACAGGGTGAGATAAAAAAAATGCAACAAAGTCAAACGCCATAATTTTTACATTTCTTTTAATTTAATTCAATGGAGGCAAAAAATGTCGGAAATAGCATCAAATTTTAGAATAGGTTTAGATTTGTTCAAATTGGTCACCTTTGGCACGAATTATGGCCTTCAAACGGCCAATGAAACCGTCACATGCTGCCCGAATATTGCTCTGCCGTATTTTGGCCCATTCCCGGCGAAGCGCTTGCTAGAGGTGATCGATACTTTGTAATTTTTAGTGCCAACCTTGCTTTCCAAAATACTCCAGACACAATAGTCCAACGGATTGGTATCCGGATATTTTGGTGGCCATTAGGAACTGAAAATGAAGCGAGGAACCTCATTTTGTAACCATTCTTGGGTGGCTCGTGCTTAGTTCAATGGTACTGATTCCTGTTGGAATGTCCAAGGTCTGCGGCCAAAGTGTTTGGTTACCCAAGGCTTTAAAACACCCTCCAGAATATTTTCTCGATAATATTCGGTATTAATTCTGATGCCACGGTCGATTAATACGAGCGGAGAGCAACCATCGGCTGTTATGGCGGCCCACACCGTCACCATGGCCGGCGCTTGAGTTCTGGTGGCCAACCGAAGGTGCACATTTTTAACTGACCTCGTTGGCAAGTAAACACGATAATTTTGTTTTTTTTTTACAAACTACTGGACAACGAATGTTTTCTCATCGGAGAAAACCAAATTCGGCAGTTCACCACATTCGGCCAAGCGCAGCAACTCTTTAGCTCTTTTGAGTCTATTTTCTTTCTGTTGCGGTGTAAATTCTTACACTTTTTGAAATTTCAATGGCTTTACCCCGAGCTGATTTTTCAATATTTGCCGAATGCAATATTGCGATATGTTCAGCTCACGACCCATTTTTCGGCCACTATGACGAGGGTTTCGATCGAGTTGATTCTTTACTTTTCGAACCATTTCTTCCATCCGCTTCCTTGACGTCGGGCTACGCTACCAGTATCACGGTAACGAGCGATGGTACGAGACACAATAGATTTATTCACATTTTTATGCTGGAGTGCTCCAACGATAGCCACTTTTGGTTTTCCAGCTAAATATAAAGAAATCACACTATCACGCTTGAATTCCATCACGAATAACTTTTTTTTTCTGGAAAATGCTCGTAAAAAAGCTTTTGTACACTTGTAAACAATATAATGAGCTGTCACCGGAATAATTGCAACAGCTGTCGGATGAGTGGCTTAGAAATGACAGCAGTCTGAAGTTGTTTGCAGTTTTTTCATCTCACCTGTATAGGGATGTAGTATATTAAAAAGTCGGCCCGCCCTATTTTGACCTTTACTGGTTATAGAAATATAAATATGCACTTTTTAGGATTTTAAAGATAAAGTTTCTTTAAAGATATTTTGAGAACATTTTTGAAGGACTATTAGAGATATGAACATGTATTTTTTGTCATTACAAAATTATGGTCTTATCGAAATTTCTCTTGGTACATAATGCAATTTTCTTCCGCTAATAATTCAATGCCTTGTGCTTGTTAAAATTCAGCTTCAGTCCAGAAAACTATGCTTATTTTAAGAACGAATTTTGAATCCCAATTCTTGTTCATTGAAAATTCAAAATACATTTCTTCATTGCAGATATTTCCATTGGGCGCCAGAATTTATCATCATTCTTATGTACTACGCTTGATTCTTATAGGAATTGTTCCCCCTTTTAAAATTCGGACACAATCTTGCTTTGAGGAGAAATTGTCTAAAAGAAATTACTATTTTTGTCTTTTCTGTTTTTCTTTGGGCCTGGCATCAACATTTTAAATTCAAACTATTGAGACACAGTTTAAAACTTAAGGAATTTTGAATAATTGCACTTTCGACTTACAAGAACATAGAACACAAGAAAGTTATTAAATATTCGCATTTAATTTAATTGAAAATTGAAGCAAAATTCTACATTTTTTCATTTGTTAATAACAATTGTCAATTTCACATTTTGTTTTCTTTTGAGCGGTAATCATTTATCTTTGCAAAGCGACTTAAAATATTAGTAGAAAAAATGTATAAAAAATCTTAAAAAACAGTCTTAAGATACAACACAGTCGTGCGTGTTTTACTAAATTGTTCCCGACTTCTGCGGTTGTCATTTCGGCGAACAAATCAAATGAAAGTTCCAACACTCTATTTCTTGCCAATAAAAAGAAAACTAGTGAGTTTTTCCATTTGCATTTGTGTATCTTCTTAAATGAGAACAATGGACACATTCTACACCATTTTGCTCAGCTCCACAGAAAATCCATTCATCCATCATCATCTGCGGGCTAAATGATCCAGTGGGTGCTGAGAGAAAATCTGTGTATCTACGGTTCCATCAATGCACTCACTTCCGTGGTGGCATACCGCGAGGACCCAATACACCCTCTAACAAATTGGGTCCAGGTTGATTTTTCGGACGTGGGGCTGGCGTCAAAGATCTGGTATGTGGAGTACCCTCTTCTTTTTTCTTCATAATTGAAGTGGCAGCACGACGTTGACGAATCTTTTCTTCCATGCGAGATGGGACCATGAAACAATTGGATTCACGATAAATGGGTTTGCGACGATCATTCCACGGGAATTCCCATTGAATGGGTTTGAAGTCACGGCGCCATGGACGGCGTGGGGTAAACCAGAAGTCAACGGTCCAATCCTCCAAACCGTCATCATCCACATCACTATTGAAAAGGAAATCAACGAACAATTAAATTAAGTCTTGTAACTTGGTCCAAAATTTCCCCAACTTACCCTCTCACATAGACTCGGACAAATCTCCTTGAACTGCGGAAAAGTTGAAGGGCCTCGTTAAATGTCAAATCCAATGCTGGCGTATCATTGATTTGTGTTATTTCATCACCGATACGCATACCAGCCCTGCGTGCCAAACCAGTGGGTGTAACATTAATGATGGTAAGCGGTTCAAACTGATCCACACCGCCAGTAACCTCAATACCCCACAGTTCATCGAAAAAGCTCATAACGCGACGATCCGTTTCCACGGTATACGTCACCAGCAATTGATATTCAACATTATCAAAGGCATCAGAAGTATACTTCGGGATTCTTGTCCGGGGATCTTTCATTCTGAAAGAACAACAAACAAAAAATTTCCATATGGCTTATGTAACTAATTTCAATACTACTAACCTGTTTCAATAAACTCTGAAAAACCTGTTATTTATTGTAACACTAATGTGGATACGCCGCAAATGATCACTGGCCAAGTGATCAGAGTCACGTTTTCGAAAGGATTGTATTGGAAAAATACTTCCTTAATTGCTAGACTAAAATCGCTGATCGTACGTCTAAACGGACCGCACAATAATTCGATTTGAAATCAATTAAACAATCGTTAGTGTTCGGTGGACAGTATTTATAGTTTTTTAAGTATTTTTCACCATTACACATCGTCACATTATTCTGTGACGTTGTGATTCTTTTATTTGACAATGAGGTTCTTCTTCATGGTCAAGAACGATCGACTAGTTTACTTTAAACGTCATTGATTTTATTTTAATCGAGTGATTGATAAAGCAAAAGAGATCGCTAGCGAATATTTGCAGATAATTAGAAATTTCGAAAATCTGCAGAACGAATATTGAATACCCTGCTTTAATAAATATGTATGTATATTTTTTATAGAAATTGTTACTGGACATTGTTCCATAACTCAAACATCCAGTAGATGAGAGTGAGTTGGTAGAGAAATTCTGACAATTTAGTTACCAAGGGATCAATATATGTATGCGTATTGGGAAAAAGACTCGGAAAAAAATGCAAGTGCGAAATGCTTGGTTCTCCCGAAATTAAATAATAAAACTAATTTTCAAAGAATGTAAATGTTAATGAACTTGTAGTAATTAGAAAAATGCAAATAATAATTTGTTGGTGGCTTAGAGAAATGGAAAGGATTTGCCTTCAACTACGAATGCTAGTATGTATCTGTAGTAGGGGACCATAATACGTTGTTGTTATGAGTTATTTTTAATCATTTTCGTACAAAACATTGGATTATAGTACACACCTAATATTTAACATTTTCAATTATTTTGTTCGATCTTTTGGTCACCTGCCTTTGTCTAGTCAAAATTTTGTTTAATTTACGCACAAAAGGGTAACCTCTTTCTTATTTTCTGATAAATTACTAAGTAACATCGAAAGTTCAAAAATATTTTATTAACATTGATAGCATTGTGGCACTCAAAAATATCTATGCGTCCTAGAAATAGGTCGAGTAACTTCGGAAGAACTTTATTCTGGAAATGGAGTTTTATGGGCGAAATTTTTAAAGATAATATTGTAAGTGAATAAGTAAGAGAAAGAGAGATGTACAAAATGTTAACGTGTAGAAATCCCCCGCGGAAGCTTGATTGAATTGCTAAAGTCGAAAATAAAATCTTATAACACTTGGAATGAGGGTGTCCCACAGTTATAATTGAATGTAATCCATTATTCTGTCTTCCTTCTCAATGAGAAGAAGAACAAAGAAATGCTTATGCTCGGCTAGCATCAATTATCTACCGGAAGGCGGGGCAAGATCTGAGCGATATAGGTACGATAAATTTCCCGCTTAAAAAAATAGACAGTAACATGACTAATAGAATTTGCTCAATATCAAATAAAAACAGCTTAGGAACTCTTTTTCCATTTTTCTTCTAGCTTAAAAAAAATCCACAAATCCTCTTAGTTTTTAGATAACAAAAAAAAAAACTACTTAAACGCATATAATAATTTCAAATCCAAAAATAAAGAAAAACAAGAAGAATAGCAGTTAATTGAAATTTGCAAAATGTGAAAAATTCCGTTTAAAAAATGCCGTCAAAATGTTGCAGTTAATCGGGGCTATATAAAAATGTGGACTTTAACAGACAATTATCTGCCAATGAAGCTGGCATGTGATAATTTTGTTGAAAAATTTAACTAAAATCATCATCATCGAATAATGGGAGGTATCGTATATGTCACAGGAAGTAGTACCCACTGCGAACTTTTAAATAATTACGGTGAAAAATGAAACTAAAATCATGAAAATACGGAATATAAAATGGTATCGTTATAGGGTAAGTGTACCAGTAGTCGGCACTTTTATGATTTTCGCGTTTTTAATCGTTCACCATTCTGAGTAGAACATTTCAATTATTACAAAGTTAATTTATTCAGATTCGAAATTTTGTATAGATTTTGTAATAATAAATAAAGTTTTAATAACCTTTTATTAAATTTCATAAATTTATAGTTTTATTAAAACAATGCTTTTTTGTCAGTAGTCGACACCACTTTCTAATTGTCGGTATGGCATGTTCCAACAGTCGGCATACCAATTTTTTTGTAAGAATAATTAAAAATAATAATAAATTAATTCATTAAAATATAATATTTTTGTTTAGTTAAACTCGACGACATCTTTATTGTACTTTTCTTAAGAACATGGATTGTTGAGGACCTTCACAGACAAAAATTTAATTTTTATTAGAATAAATCATCTTTTCTTAGCGAAATTGTACACAAAGTTAGCTGACAATATATTTGAAGTAAACAAAATATATTTAGTTATAATAGTTTCATTTATTTGGACTTAAAAATAAAATGTGCCGACTACTGGGACATGCCGAACTTAGGGACACTTACCCTACTAAGTCGTTGACCTATGTAAGCAAATTTCTGTCAGTGGAGGAAATACCCATTATGAACTCCAAATACCAAATTTGATACAATTCCCGTAAAAAATGTGACACAAATCAACAAAATGTCGAATTTTGGGGGGAAACAGTTATATTGGGACTATACCTTTTCAAATATGCTTTTTACATACAGAGAACACAATTTGTAATATGAGATGGTGCTTTTTCAACGAATCGACCTAAAAACGCGTTTTCGTTATTAGGTCAAATTTCGCACATAGTGCTTTTAAAAATGTCAGCACTAAACCGCTAGTACAATCGTCAGGCCTTTTTCTAATAGTCTGAATAAGCCACTGACAAAAGGAATACATGAATAAACTACCACACAACCCAAAGGAGAAATGTCTTAAGTGGGGTGAATAATAAAAGAATTGGATTTTATAATATCACTAAGGGGAGAGAATATACTGTATAGAAATAAGAATTTGTATAAATAAAAATGTGATAAAAATAATATAAAAACTAAATAAGAGAACATTTTTATAATTATTGTCGGTCAAATGTTATAAAATTTTTCAAAGTAAGAAAGTCTAAACATTTTCATTAATTTCTGAAAGAAAAAAATAGATGATATCTGCCATCACACCATTAAGAAATAATTTGATCAGATTAGCAGAACTATTTCGAAAATGTGTTACAAGCAGTTGAGAAAAATAAATACGACAACAGGTAGTTCTTGTTAACAGGCCAATTGTTTTTAAAACAAACAGATCACTGGCAAAGTACAAGTATTGTTAATGTCCTCTACAACGATATGGCGTATATTTACATCGATCGGAAGCAATTGATTTAAACATATCGCAATGTCGGAAGTTGGCACGGCATTTAATGCCATTAAAGGTGTCTCTCGACAATATAACGAATTTTGTTTTAAATATAAGAGAAATGTGAAACAGAAAATAATTAAATCTTCTGTAAAATGTTGCTGCAAAGACCTAAAAGACCTGTAAGCATTATTATATCCTTTGACATAACTATGGCGCTGAAAATATTATACAAAATACCTGTAAGATACCATCTAATATTTTTAAACATTTTTAAGGTCCTCATTTTATTTAAAAAAAAAAATCGGTAAAATATGAAGATAGAAATGTCCTTGCGTCTGTCCGTCTGTGGAAATCACTCTAGCTTCCAAACGAATTGAAGTAGATTGATAAAATTTTACTCAAATGTATATTATGTCTGCAGGACTATTGGTATTGAAATGTAGTTCCACTTTTTGGTATAGCCCCCATATAACGGTACTTCCCGATATTCAGTATGTTGATGATTTTAGCGCATTATTCACCGGAATTGTTTCAAATTTGGTATTTGAATTTCGTAATGGATACTACAGCCTAAGACAGAAAAGAAGTGTCAGAGTTATGTGTCCAAAACTGTAAATAAAATAATTAATTTTCAATAAATTATTTTAATTTCAAAAATATACATTTTTGGAATTTGGATTGTTAAATTGAAAATGCAGAAGAATAGTTCTTAAAATATTTAATTTTAATGCTTTCACATCATTCCCCTGAATGTATAGTTGTTAGCTGTAGGTCCAAATATCTCACCACTTCAAGCAATCAGAAAATCGTGGAAAAAGCAACATCCCTTTCGAATTGAATCCAATCTGCATATATACATAAAGTATTCTACATTTTGCAATTTTAGAAAACATAAAATACACGACTTATTACCTAATGTGGTGTCGCTGTTCCTTAACCGTGAAAAAAGTTTATCGCTCCATCGTTTTGTTGAGTATAACAGCTAATTTTCTTTTATTATTAGACAAAAAATATGTCCATATTGCCGTGCAGTAAAATTTTATATCAAAAGAGTGTATACCAATTGTATATCAAGAAATGAAATTAAACCACAAAACTACATTGAATTTTACACTAATAATTATGCCATGAATAAATTTCAAGTAATCTATTTACATAAGTAAAAAAATGTTACTTTTGGAATGAGCAACAGTTTTCCAAATAGTTATTAATACATTTGTTGGTCTATTTTTGCATAATGTCATACCATTTAACAAAGAGAATAAATGAAAAACACGCAATATTTCCTAAAGGCAGCAATGAAAAAAATATTGCTTCCATAAGTATCGATGCTGCAGATGTTTTTACAATGCAATGCATTGAAATTAATTTAAAAATCGCAGAAAAATTGACAAGAAATATATTCTCGCTGCTCTCAACAAAGTAAAACATTCTAAGAGCTCTATTAATCTAGTGAAACTTAGATTACCTTACATATATATTATATAAATGCTTTTCATATGAACTCTCGTGTAATTCATGGGTTGTAGTGTTGAAGATATCACAGCAAAGATGAGCATCTAACACTATGGGGAAAGAAGGCATTTCGTGGTAAAGGAGCTTTTGATATATGTATATGTTAACAAGTCAATAGAAGAATCATAGTAATCGTAGGGAAAGACCCTACTTTAAAAAGTATATACATACTAAATATTAAAAAAACAAAATTGAATTACTCAGTAGAGTTAAATCATTATACCAGCTCTTAGGACACAATTTATTCAATTGTAAATAATACGACTTGACGCACATGCCAAAACAACATATAAAGCTATTGTATGAAGATTTGATATGATCTTCATACAACTATGCAGTTATCCCTTCTCCTTCTTTATGTTACAAATAAATGTACCTATATCAAAGTTTGGCGAAAATAATAAAAATAAACAATGGATCCTTTGAGAAAAATTAGCTACTCATAAAACATACAAATAAAACAATAGTTTTAATGTTTTAATTAACTTTTTAGTTTATCTTTTTTTAAATTCCTTGTTTACGATGGAAATTATGAAATGCAACTTTTTCTTTTTTCAACACATAAACGTTTGAGGTTTCTCCACAGAAACGATTAATAATATACATACAACTAAATAATATAGGAAGGAATTTAACAAAATTGGAGACTGCATGACTGTAAATTTTACCATATTTTTCATTGTTTCATTAAGGCATAAATAAATACTTGTTTTGTATGTTGAAAAGAAGCTCCAAATTATTATTTTTTTATTATGTTTTAATCTATTACGTTGTCTAGAGTTTTTGTGGCATTTGTTAGCTTTCAATGGATCAAGTCTTCTATTTTTTGTGTTTGTTTAACAAATAAAACCAGACATTATTCACGATGTAATAAAACAAAAATGGCTAAGATCGATAAAATTGCCCACTACAAGAGAAAAAAAGGAAATTAGTATATACATTACAAATCATGTAGCTGGGTTGAGATTACCTTAACTTTGGGATACTCATTCATAAATATCGTAATTATTCCAACATATGGCAAGAACCCTCTAGCTCTTCCAACAATATCCTTTTTCGTTAACCATAATTGTCCTGGAGCGTATAAACCTCTATCGTCGACGTTGTTGTTATCACCCTTTGTCAAGATTTTGACCGAACCGTCTTCCCTTGAATCAAAAAAGAAAAATAAAAACTTTAAATTGACCATGATTAACATTTCTACAAAGGTTTACTTACTTCTCATGCAATTTGATTACACGATGTACAATAGGAATGTCTCTTCCCTCTACTTTAAAAACAACAATTTCGCCTACACGAACGGGTTCTTCCTTATAATTGGTAAGGAATAAGAGATCACCTCTGTGGAAAGCTGGTTCCATACTACCACTCAATACTACAACAATTGGACTCTCACTACCGGTCACCACCATCAAACCCTTCCAGATCATCAGGGCGGAGGACACAATCATTGCAAAGCTTAGAAATTGGTACAAGGACTAAAGAGCACAACAAAACAAACACATTAACCACAAAATCATTCATCGTTTCAGGACCAAAAGACACGTATAACAAACAACTAGCCAAGTTAAAGCTATTTCCAATCAAAAACACGCACACACACTTGACTATTGAAATGCATGATATGCTTGGTTGGCTAGTTGTGGCTATTGTTGTTGCTTTTTCAATGTGTCTCGTACATATCCATACCTGGCGCTTGTTCATACGCTTGAAATCCTGTATCATTTCATCAATTTGTAATGTTTCGGCTAGACCCATATTGTATTTGTTTTATATTAAACCAATGCTACAACAAAAATTAACTTTCTGAAATTAACTTTACAAATTTGCAAAAAAATGTCTGTGACTTCTATAAAAAGCCGCTTGTTTTTATACCACGTCAACTGAGAACAAGCCGTCGAACAAAGCTCTGACGCCGTCTTTTACCGATGCCGATAATGAACCGCTTTCGGCGTTACCTCACAAAGACTATTGCCGTGTTCCCGTACTCATTATTTTTATTTTTTTAAGCAGCGACATAAAGGTGGAGGCACATAAGTAACTTCAAATTTTCGTATGGCATATTTTATGACACATCCTGGCGTCGTTTTTCTTTTTAATTTGTCATTACTACTACTGCCACATATGTACCTCACCTTAAATCTAGAAATAACTTCTTTTGGGAATTTAAAAAAAAAAATATTGTTTTTACTAATATTTGGAGCCCAATATTTCGGGAACTATGGACCCACCACCCGAAAATATGTTATTGTTTTATTCTTTATTTCAATTAACGGTTTAGAAAGCTAAGTAAAATGAGTTATTTTGCAAGATCGGAACCCTATATCTCGGGAAGTATTGATTCCCTCTGCGTTTAGGATAACAACACCTGCCTACGGTAAAAATTCCGGAATTTTCTGTCAGTACACTACTGACACTACATATGTAAACCCCTTATCATCTGATAGCAGCTTTAACAAACAATCACAGTTGTGGTGCTTACTTCAATTCACGTGTTCGATCAATTCTAATTGCTGAACAAAACAAACGCTCTCAAACGCACATGTTTGATTGCGAGTGAAACAATTCAAACTGATTATACAATTCCATGCAATACGAAAATTACATTTTCTTGCAAATCAAACAACTGCATTAACAAGAATCATGTAAGAGGTCGAGTATGAATAAATTATTTATACTCCTTGCAACTCTTGTACTGAGCACTGTAAAAGTACTCAGACGTACCTATTTTTTTGACGTAAATTCTAATATCCAGTTCACATCGTATATAATTCGATCTCTCTTAGTTCTTCGAACTTTCATTTTGTAACATCTACTTAATTCTGCGCACTAAATTTACTGAGAAATCAACGATTTTTGAACAATCTTTGATCAACTGGTGAAAAAATGAACAGATCAAAACAGGCAGCGGCAAACATACAAATCTGAAGTTACAAGTACATAAAGAACTTTTTAATGAGTTAAGTCACAGGCGTAAAAGACGAGTTTTAGGCTTACTTATTTCCCTACACTACACCATACACTCCTTTGTTCTTAAGAAAATAAAACAGCTAGCCTTAAGCCTAAACTCAGTGGTCTTCTCATTGTAAACGCAGGTTACAGGTAGTCGCATCGACACAGCTGCTGGGACAATGAACTGTCAAACTGATTTTGGAATTGAAAATGTTGAATGAAAAATTATTCTATGCATAGGGAAACATATACAAAACTACTTAGTTTTGAAGAAACATTTAAAAAAAATTGGCATATCAATGTTACAATGTGTTGATGCATCTACCTATATTATCCCACCATGGACATGACACAAACCATGGCTCAATAACAAAGAAACTATAAAAATGCAACTCTGTACTGTCAAATATAGTGTCAAATAAGCTTTTGAATATGCAACAGATGGTTCTTGTTTATTTTTCATTTTTCTCAAAATCCAAATTCTTACACTGGAGAAAACTGCGAAATAATAATGGGATTGTGGGGTTAATTCACAAGATAGTAGGACAAAAGGGTTTTAATCGAAAATTGTAAAATGTGTTTCCATTAAGGTCGAAAATATGCATTTATTTTGCATCCGAATTTAAAATAACAATTTCAAATTATTGTATTTTTACAACCGATTGTTTCAACATGCTAAAAAACAACAAAATATGATCTTTCGTACAACCCATTGTAGCAGAATAGACGCATCGACACAGCTGCTAAAACAATGAGTTGTCAATCCAATTTTGGAATGGAACTTTTTGAATGAAAAAGTATTCAATCATTGATTTTGAAAATATTCTGTTTTTATTTTTCAAAACAATAAGTACATATACCAAATACAAAATTGACAGAAGTCGGGCACACTTAGAAAAAAATTATAATCAGCCTTACCTTTTTATTGAACCATGGTACAACCGAAACACAACCTCGTGCAACCAAACGATACAATCTTGAATACAACTTCTCATAGTTGTACAACCAGTTGTAACGTGTGTGACTTGCATTAAGTAAGAGGAAGCATTATTGTTCAGGCACTGTGAACTATTAACTTTTTAACCGGGCCAATGTGATTCTGTGATTCTGGAGGAGGCTTATCGAATCCTGCGACAATTATGGGTGACCACAAACTTTTAGACACAACGCAGATTGTTAATGGTATAGCAGTGTTGCTTTCGTTCTTTGTTGGTTATAAATATGCATTAAAAAGACAAGAACAAGCTGAAAACACGCCAAAGAAAACGGATGAAGTTAAAGGAGCCGTGGGTGGAAGTACAAGTATAGCTGCTAATGAACCGGTACTTAACTTAGAAAACATTTCAAATAAATATATTGACATCGGTTTCCTTTTTATTACAGCTTTTTGCTAGTTTTAGCCATAACTATAAAATGGTATTGCTAGTTCGTAACGACTTGAAAATGGGCAAAGGTAAAATTGCAGCCCAGTGTGGCCATGGTGCCGTTGGAGCCTACCAGAAAGCTGTACATCGCACACCAAGCCTTGTTAGAGCCTGGGAGAATACCGGCTGTGCTAAAGTTGCCCTAAAAGTGGAAAGCGAAGCTGAAATGATGTGCCTGAAAAAGGCAGCAGAGGCCAGGGGTCTTAATACCTGTTTGATTCGCGATGCCGGCCGCACACAAATCGAACCTAATTCTAAGACTGTTCTGGCCATTGGACCAGCCGCCGTGGAGGCTATTGATCAAGTTACTGGTCACTTGAAATTACTTTGAATCTATTTGAGTACTTAGGTTAAAAAGATTAAGAATTTAAGCAATTTTCTAAGACGAAGAATTAAACTGAAAAAGTCGTAATGTTTTCTTTTTAAAACGGGACTTTTAAATGAAGTGTCGGATAGAATACATGCTGAAAGTTTAATGAATACAATTTCGTTATTAATATCTCAGATTGTACAAAAATTGCTAGTCTCTTATACACCCATTTAAGTGGATTCTCAATAAGCGTTTACATAATCGGCCGGAGATTTACATTACAACCAATTTTTTAAAAAATATTTTTATTTTCAAAAAATTAAGGACAAATTGGATTGCAATGTGTATAGTAAAATCACTTTAAATATTTAAATTAAAATCTTAACCAATCATCATCGTTATTATCATCCTGTGATGGTGGATCTTCTGAGGGTTGTTCCTGTTGTTGATGATCATCCAAAGCAGAAACATTGCCGTACGACGACAGCTGTTGAATTTGCTGTTGTATACCCATCATAGTATGTGCACCGCTGGCATTTTCTGCTCCTGCTATATCCTGTTCCATTTGATGAGAAAACCCGCCTTCTTTTTTGGGACGTGCATTGTCGTCGTCATCATCACTCTCTGAGATGGCTAAATCATTGTTAATATTCATATGATCTTGATTCATTGGAGCTGCACTTTCTTGATGGGCATCTTCGTCTTGTGGCAAAAATTGTGATACATTAGATGTTTGATAAGATGAATCTGTCATAGCAGCTGCATTAGTGTTTCCACCACCTAAGCGATTATGCATTGTTAGAAAATCAGATGGATCATAGTTTGGATCCAAATCCATTGATTCTTCTGAAATTGTATAAAAAAGTGATTGCACTGATAAAAATAATATGTTTTAATTTGGTTACCTCCAATCAATTGGGGTGCTTCCATTTTCATTTCAGATTTAAGATTATCAGAATGAAGGACTTCAGAACCTTCACCCTCACTTCCCCCCGCATTTGACATAGAATGCATACGTTCACCTTGATCCAAAATATTCGCAGCACTATTCTCATCTTCTGAGACCTCTTGGAACTCATCATCTTCATCTTCGGTGGAACACTGTTGATCTGGAGAAACAAGAAAAAAATATTCAATATTTTTTATTGAAAACTTTTTTATATCTTTTATTAGAATAGAACAAAAAAGGACAATAATTCGTACACTCAAATAAACAAGGATGTATAATTTGCTTACTTCGACATTCATACGTATATACAAACTAAAGGAAAATTGATATTTAAGTTTGCAAATACACTTAGAAAACATTATGGATATTATTGATTAGTTAAAATCTGAAGATCTTTTTAAAGCAGGATTATAATTTCCGTAGTGTCGCGGACAGAATACCAACTGCATATATTCTGTAGATGGATAATTTTTGATATATTTGACAGCGTTACCTAAAATTCGACGTAGCGTACACAAGTATTCAACTTTCCCACTATGGTAAAATGTTTGGTACGTCCGTATTACCCAAATACGCCAGGTCCATATCCTAAAATCTGCCAGCTAATAAAGTTGTAAAAATTGATACAGTTTAAATTATCTCAATGTTAAAAGTGTTTAACTTTGAAATTATATACTTCCGACGTATTTGGGTAACGCTCATATAAATACATGTGTTTCACTTGTGTGGTGAAAAACGTCGACCGTGTACGTAGAATTTTAGGTAACACTGTTAAATGTAGCAGCAATTTTTTTGTCATTTTTCTTTATTTTGTATGGGTTCGAACAATTTGATCATGAATTTTTATATTTAATTTAAAATATCTATCTTATGATATATAAATATTTTTTCTCAAAACATTGACAACATCTAAATTTAAAACTTCTGTGGCAAAAATAAAACATTCTTTATGGTTTCAATTCGCGTCACCTACTACTATAAAAACCAATTGTAAGATAAATAGATCGGCATAACATTATGAATCCTAGAATAGGAAAAATTAAGATTTTATTTCTTTTTAATAGACACGTGCGTATGTTAAAACGAAGAATTATTCCATCCTAACAACGCTAAAATGTCAGAAAGTTTTATTTAATAATTTTACATTTATTAATTTTAAAATTGCAGTTTAAATTGTAAAAAGGTTTGCCATTACCGATTTGTTTGCATTACCTCTTCAATTCTGACACGATTCTACAAGATCTTTAGGTTATAAATCTAAAGTTGTTGTAATTGTTTAATGTACCTATAGATGATGGGAAGTCATCTTTAAGGAGATGTATCTATATTATATTTATGGATAATTGTGGGATTCAATAATATATAATCTTTTGAAAAAAAAAAACAGGAACAGATGGTGTAAAGATTTAAAAGCAATAACCATAAAAAATACAGGCTGACAAATTATAGGAAACACAATAAAGGAGAAAGAAATAAACGGAGCATTATAAAACATGTGTGGCAAATTTGTGCAAAATGCATTGGTTAGTGCACTAACTACATTCGTTTTATTTTTGCAATTATTATTAGAATTTAGATATCCAATAGAAAACTTGTGTTAGTAGGAAAAGTGTTTGTGGTATTCTAAAGAAACATGTTAATCTACTTTTAATTGTTTTTTTTTTATTGGTAATAGTTGATAGAAAGCAGTATTAGTCTTACCTTCTTCCGTAAAAGAGGAATTATGTGGGTTACTTAAATTTGAGGTTAAGCTGTCCTTACGGGGACGACCGCGACCACGTTTAACAGCATTCGCATTAAATTTAACTAAAAGTATAAAATTTGTAACACAATAGTTTCCATAGATTGTTTTAATTTTTGTTGGTTTATCATCGTTAATTTTTTGTGGGTTTGGATTTTGTTTTCAAGAAACAAATTGAAAAAGGCATTACTTTTACGTTTTTGTTATTAAACCAAATATAATACTAAACCAAAAAAAAAAACACAAACTTTAAACATCAAAAAATTAATATTACTATTTATAGAAGAATTTAACAGAAAAGGCTATTAACGATGATACATTTAGACTAGAGAAAAACGATAACAATTGCGTTTACAACAATTATATAGATTTCTGCCTGTGGTTCATTATATTATTAATATTTAAACTCTTCGTGTTTCAAATCTGTATCGGAAGAAATCCTATTATACTTCACTATTGGGATTCAAAAACTAAATAATTCGTTCACCCACTTTAGGTCACTGTTACTAAATTGAATCAATATTAAATTGATGAAATTTATAGCTATCATTGTCCCATATTGTATTGTACTGGCACTCAGATCCAAAGACAGGTCCATAATGGTAGATTTTATATTATATATATTAAATTGTGGTAATATTATGTATGCTATTCTATTGTTTGGCTTTTAAAGAATAACACGAGAATGCAATGTTCCACGTTGCTTTAAAATCAAGCCATCTATTTATATTAGATTTAGATTATTTCTAATAAATGCTAGGCATTTGAGCTTTGATATACTGGTTCTTGTAAAAAAATCACTTAACATGAGTAGGAATAAAAGCTCTTATTACAAGTATTGTTGTAAAATATTGCTCTGAAGGAAAATCTAAATAATATTTAAATTAATGTTAGTAGTTTATTAATTATTGGAAGATATATTGTACTCCGAAAAAAGATGTAAGAAAATGTACAGATATATAAATCAATTGCAATTAAAATTTAGGATACTACACGCTCTCTATAGTTAGACAAAAATGAAGAAATTTAAAATTGATTAGTAAAGTATGCAAGATATTGTCGTATAGTTTAAAATACCGCAGCCCATTAAAGAATGTCATGTCTGTTAAATTAGTAAACCAAATAAGCTTGAAGACATATTTTGTAAAATATTGGTTTTACTGTAATATCTTTAATAAGATTTGGAAATATGTGAATTAGGAATTGACACTTTAACACTCTCAGACCACTCACAATATTTGTTTTTAGAAAATTAATATTAATATTAGAATTTTATTCGTCTTACCTTCCTCATTTACGTCACGAAGTTTTCGCGGACGGCCTCGACCACGTTTAATATCGATAGGAGGTTGCATATCTTGATTTTGCACATTTGAGCCTGTGTTGAGAGATATTAAACCACCAATACCACGTTGTAATGTTGCATTTGACGAAGAAGATGGCCTTTCATTGCCTTCCACATCAATAAATTCATTTTCTGGTGTACTTGAACGACTTGTACGCGTATAATCATATTCTTGATCTTCTACACCACCCCATGTATCATCGAGATCTGCATCGACACGCGCACGTTCCTGAACCTTAGCAATATTTTGCTCCAATTGAAGACATTGTTCAGAACACTATAGATAAGAATGAACACAAGAAGTCAATTAAAAATAAACAACATTTAAGAAATGTACTCGCCTCTTCCAACTGCGTGCGAGCAAATTCTAAAATATGCTTTGCATTTTGGGTAAATCTTGATTCACTGCCATTGTATTGTTCACAATTTACAGCTATTAATTCGATATCCGCCAAGAAATCTGCTCGTGAGTGGTACTGATGAGCTGTAAAATTTATTAAATGGCAATTACAAATTTAAAATCAAATAATTCATTTACCTTCAATATTTTTTCCAATGGTTTCCAAATCCATGGGTCTCTTAATAATAGTGTAATAATCTTTAACTTGTTTTTTATTTACAGGCTTAAGGAAAGGCCAACTTTCTTGCATAGTCTTAATTTTTGTGTGCAGTTTTTCCAATATAAACGATAAAGCCACTTGGTCATCGTCATCCAGTAGGGGATTAATTGCCTTTTCCAACCTTGCAAGTTTTTCTTCTTTTTCAGCCATTAGATCGCAACAGTTTTTATACATGCGTTGCGCAGCCGAAGTAAATGAACTATTCAGACCATTGTATAGTGTTGAATTTTCAACAATTTGTTTTAAATCAGCCAAAAAGGTTTCACGTTTATGGTATCTTTTTTGGCGTATATTATCACGCATTGTTTGCAGGTCCATAGGTTTGGTAACTATGCGATAATAATCGGGAACCACCTAAAAAGAATTACATTAAAAACAATCTACGCAAATTTTGACTCAATACCTTAGCATTAACTGGAAACATAAAAGGTGTGACATCGGGCATTGCTCTTAAAATATTTAATATTTCCTCCAAAATGGAAGATAATACCACAACGGGGTCTGTACGTCGACGGTTGGCAGTTTTGTTATGGCGTTGCAAATAATCGCAATGTATATCGCTAGCTTTACGTTTCTTTTTACCCATCATATCTTTGGGCACCTTAAGTAGAAGACCCTTTTTGTTGCGGCCCATTAAACTTTCGTCATGTCGCTTCAACACTTTACTGCTCAGAGTAACCTTGGTGCCATCGACATTTACCAAATCATCGTCATCACAATTTATTTCACGACTCTCTGGTTCTTCCTCAGGTTCATCCATTACGGAAGAGTTCATAGATGAATTGGTTGGACCTTGCGTTCCAGTATAAAGGGGACATGCCTTGTTTGTACGCATGTGACCAACCTGCCCGCAGGCGCCACATTTCAATTTCAAATCTGGTTTAAGCTTAAATTTCTTCCTTGATGGGCTTACTTCCTTATGACTATTATCTCTCTCTTTGTGCGAAGAACTTTGAGAAGTTTTTGGGTCGCCCAAAGAGGTAGGCATACCACCAGGTTGTAATTTTTGATTTTGTGCCAACTGAGCTAGGCGCTCCTTTTCTTGATTGCGCTTTATACGTCTCAACTGCTCTTGAATTCTTCTCTTTTCTCGTTTCATTTCTTCCTTTTGTTGTTCATCGAGTGTGGCAAATTGTTTGATAAACTGTTCATCTTTGGTGGTCCTAATCTTGACGTATGCATCTATAACTGGTTGACGGCGTACAGTTTCAACACGAGTATATTCTTTGCCTTCTTGATCCTTAAATGTTCGTGTAATCTTTAATATGCGACCTAAATTCGGCTGCGGCTGATGTTGATTTTCTCCGGATCCTTCTTTGTTTTTGTCATTCTTTTGTTTATTACCCTCTTCATCTTCCATCATTTTCTTCAGCAATTCCTGTCTTTCTTGTTCTTCACGTTCCAGTGTTAATTGGGTCGAAGTTTTCTTATTGGATAACATATTTTCCAAATTTTTACCCAATTCCTCCAAATCGGATTCTTCTGAAGCCGACGACTCATCTTCATCTGTTGAAAGTACTTCCGAACTGGCAAGTACCCGATTTTGTAAATCGAATATACGTTGGCATTCTTCTTTATAACGTTCCTGATGTTCGGCTATTGAAAAACGATTGCCTCTGGAAAATTTATCCATGCCCTGTTCACCAGCTTTAGCCTTTTCTGTGGATAGGGTACGTACAACATCAATAACCTCCCAACGAGATAGTTTCTTAATTTCTTCTTCGGGTACTTTAAATTTTCGTAACAACTCCTTGGCCCTTTGCAATGGTAAACGACGTAAATCGGCATCAGTACCTGTTACAGTACGTTTTGGTTGCGACTCTTGTTCTTCTTTCGTTTGCTGCAAGTATCCGGAATATAACTTTATTGTTCTTAACTATGTATGTTGTTGAAATATTTACCGTTGGTTTGTTAGGAACTCGTACATACGAAAATCCTTCACCACATCCCGTGGGATCAGCAGGGCCTGTTAATTGCAACAAACATTTTCCACGCATTGCTTGTATGTAGGCTCTTTTAAAACAAAAAAATTGTTTAGCTTTGTGAATATTGAATTTATTAAGCTAAAAAAAAATTTACCTTGTAGTGTTCCAGGGAGCAACTTTAACTTCGTCGTCCAATTTCAACTGAGATTCCTCATCATCGTCCTCTTGGGGTGCAAATATAGATTTCTCACCATAACCGGCATCCTTAAGAAAATGGAAACATGGATTGGTTAAATGGTTCCTATTTCCGTGAAAGTTCTTACCTTTAATCGTTGTTCAGCAGCAATCATACTAAAGTAAGCACAGCATTGCTCTGGCGAAACCATAGATCGAATTTCCTCCTCGGATGGCAGTCGAAATTCTGGTTTGATGACCCACCAATTTGAATCCATACCAGTACGCTTGAAATCTGCACATTGTTTCAGTCTTTTACGTATACTACTTTCTGAATGGGCGGGGAAGGCACGTTTTATATCATCCATACGTATACGACGGGGATTATCTTTACTTTTCCAAAAGAGACGATAAACAAAGACTTGCAAAAAGTCACGTGTAAAATTGTTAACTCGTTTCGAGTTAGGTCCTGGTACCTCATATAAGGGACACTCTTGCCCAACTGTGAAAATTGCATTGAATTCACGCAAGTAATAATTATTACGAGTACGTATGACTAAAAAGTCTGTTTGATTTACATTGTGTGGGTAAATTGGAGCGCGATACATATTATTTTCCAATGCTTGAATACACTGCCCAGGGTGTAAAATGCCAAGAAAGGGGCTGGTATGGGCAATTGCTGTTTCACCATATTTAAAGTCCTGTGGACCATTATCCTTGGTGGCCTTACGCTTGTAATAGTTCTTGATTTTTGAACACATACCAACTTGGTTCATTAATGGAGGATGTTCTTCACAAAATTCAGCCAAAATTATATCACCGTCTTTGCCGCTTAAATCTTCCGGATTTCGCATAAAGAAGACATCACCACCACCGGAAGCAATACGTTCTGCATCACGTTGCTTAGCTTTTTTAACGATGTGCTTAAGCAATGGTAATACCGGATGAGGGACAGGCTGGGAGAGAGGACCATAAGAGTATTTCTTTAAAGGAGGCCTGTGGAATGATCTCAATTTCATTGGACCCATATGGGTGGGAATAAATGGAGATCTCAATTCTACCACTGGCGTCGAATGTTGTATTATACTACCACCACCAACTTTAAGTCGCAATGTCGGTTCAGTCTTAGGCATGTAATAACTGTCATTGGAAATATTAAATGGATCTCTGTCGGGACTTTTTGGCGGTGGAGGTGGAGTATCTTCGGCCAGAACGTTAATAACACCAGCTTTTCCCAGAAGAATTTTCGATTTCTTAACATGAGGATGGGGAATTTTGATTTTCGGCGGTGGTCCGGTATTTTTATTGATTTTCGATGGATCAATATCGTCTGGAATACCCAAGATAATATTTTCATCATTTGGATCCAATGTCAACACTTTAGGTTTTGGAATCTTAGGCATTTCTTCAGCATCCCAAATGATTTCATCTTCCCATTTACTGTAAATTAGCTCCTCATTTTCAACAGGAAATATGCTATACCACGTATCATCAACTGCTTCTGCCGGCTTTGCTGGTAAACTAGAAACAATTGCAAATTTAAAAGTAATCCTTAGGGAAAAATTGATTAAACAAAACTTACTTTTGGTTTGCTTTTTGTTTGTTTGTTGAGCTCCCGCTTCCACCAGGAATTTTACTTGTTGGCCCTCCTGTCACAGGCAGTGCTTTACCAGCCGGCGTAAATGCCCTAGATCCACTGGATGGCAACCAACCAGCTGCATTTGTTTTTGAGTTTAGTTTTTGTAAAACTTTTGCCTTTATTTCATTCCCATCCCACACAACTTCATCTTCCCAATGCAACTGAGAAACCATAAGAAACGCGTCATCGGCTATGGCGGCTTCGTCATCTTCATCAGCCGGCTCTTCTTTTTTTGCCTGTGTTTGTGGCTTAGAATGTTTCATCTCTTGTTTATTTTTAAATCCGTAGTTAAAGCCCTCGCCCGAATCGGGCACATCTAACATATCGTACCATATTTGTGCTGGGCCATATCGCCAGTCTGCAATTTTTGGTTTGTTCTCGGTATTATCGCCATTTTCAGGTTCTTGTTTAACATCCTCATCATTAAATATGCTTAAAAGTTTGTCTTCATCATCGGACAAACATTGTGCAGGCATGGGATCGGGACCATGATGTATACCAAACCCCTTTTTGCGTGGCTCTTCAGAATCACTTGTAGAATCTGATCCTGGATTATGATTTTTTTGATCTCGTGATTGTTTGCGTTTTCGTCTTCGCTTTTTTACATGCCGCCAAATTTGTGGCAGACTTGAGGGTTTTCCGGGCCCAAATAAACGAGAAAATCTTAAGATTTTTCCAGGTCTAAAATCAGGAAATAATTCACGTACATCAACATTAGCATATTTTGAGGGCAACATATCGGCCAACGGAGTGTCCAATTTTCGCTCTGCCGCTAAATATGAAAATAAAAATATTGATTAAATTCTATAATGATCTTTAACGCATGTTTCAATTTGTTTACATTTCTCAGGCTTGACATCCGTATCCATTCCACTGTCGGAACCACTTTGTTTACTTTGTGTTTCCTGGGCTGTATTTGACTGTGTGCGTACAGGTGTGCTAGGTGGTGGCATCAACTCTTTGTCATCTTTGATAGAAGAACAAACTTTTGAAGCAGGAATTGCATCCTCCAAATCTTCTAAAATATTTGAGGAGTCTGTTTTATTCTCGGTCTCCGTTATTTGAACGTCCGACGGTGGTGTCTTTGGGCAATCCTCAGATAACTCGTTTATATCAGAATAATCTACGGCATTTGTGTCTTTTATAATTTCACCATTTTCGTCTTCTTGTTTTTCTTTGTTATCCAACAGCCCTGATTTAAGAGCATCAAAATCGCTCATTGGCTTCTTTTCCTCCTCGTCTTCATCATCGGCATCTTCTGCTTCAATTACTTCACTTAGCATCGAATTTAAACCCAACCTTAACGAATGAAAAAATTAATAAATAATTCGATTCCATATATGTGCAGTGTCTCACTTCGACAATGAACCCAGATGTTCCTTGAATTCCGAATCAAAAGCTCCGGCTCCATCTTCATCTACTAGTTTGCCTTCAGAGTCAATGTTGCCAAATAGTATACCTGTCAAATCTATTCCAAATCCTCCTCCGTCATGATTACTACCTCCGTGATTAGAACCATTTCCAATTGATCCATCATCGTCGCTGTCAGTATCCATGTTCGTTCTTCACTTCTAATTGCTTCAAATAACTCCAATCTTTAAAGTAGGGTTTCTATTGTACAAATATGTGGCTAATGATTGCAGGAATCCTATTTGATTAAATATACATTTATTTTTTATTTTTGTTAGCCGCTATTAACGCGTTTTGTCAATTTTCCCAACAAAATTAGAGGTGAGAAACAATCGATGTCAATATCGATTCTTTTACTTTTAAAAAGGCATATCGATTGATAGTTTTTGCGCCGATATTATCGGACGAAATGGCTGTACTCTGCTTATGCTAGGTTCTCATAACGTTTTTTATTCATAGTAAAATAATTCCTATTTTTTTTTTTATTAAATTTTGTTTGTTGACTTTAATGGGAATTTGAATGAAATCATATGAAATTCGTATTAATAATTGGTTTTCTTTAAAGAGCTATTTGAACATGACATTTTATATATTTTTGTGTGTTTTCTGCTTTTTATTTTTGCTGGATAGAGACTTGTCAATCTATTCCGCAAGATTGAATCTAATGGTCTGTTCCAGAACTGCAAGAATGAAAAAGATTTTACTACCATAACCGATTTTCCCTTTATGATATCGGAGAAAATTGCAAAACTAGTAGATTCTAGCAGGTTCTGGAACAGACCATAAAATAGTAGGGCACCAAAATTCAATTCTTGTTTCGCGGGTTTTCCCCAATGGAAGAATTTTGTTAAAAAATGAAAAATAAACCAAGCCAACTGTTGCATAGTTAAAAATCTATTTGACACTACAAGATTCCAGCACAGAGTTGCATGTTTCTAGTTTCTGAAGTTGAGCAACCTTTCTTACTGAGCCATGGATAGACCATTAACCATAACAGTTGAATATTTATACAAGCTATGTCGAATTTTTAGTAACGCTGTTATTTTTTATTTATCTGGCTTAACATATGAAATAAATATGTGAATGTGTGTTCTTTTTAATTATTTCCAATGTTTTTCGGTATGTTAAAGGGAAAATCGGTAGTTAACCATATATGAAAATTTTTAAGAAATTATTCACATTTATTTGAAATCAAAAAGCGTATTCCAACGTATGTATGAAAAAAAGAAATTTTGACCCTTTATTAAATTTTATTTATTTATTTATTCAAACTCATTTGTGTAATACAGGGCCTCTAAGACAATAAAATCATATTACATAGCTAGCAAAACCTGAGTATTTAATACTTATAATCATGGTACAATGAAGAGAAGGTAGGTCAACTTTGAAAAAATTACAAGTATAGAGATCTACCTGTTTGGCTTGTAATGTCAGAATTAGTATCAAAACAATAAAAAATCAAATAACTTGTTGCATGTATTTTGAATAAATAATTTAAAACCGCGAAAACTGAATGAAAGGTCAACACTTCTTTTTAAAACCAGGTTCTATATATCTCTAAAGGATTATTTCGCTACAAAAACTCTAGATTTTATCGATGCATACGATGAAATAAACATTTTGAAAACATCCGAATTTGAATGTTTTCTGAACAATTTTTTTGTTATTGAAAAGAAAACACATACATATACAAATAAAGATGACATATTAAGCTAAGAAAATAAAAAAATTGAAATCATATGGTATCATAGCCCTACCTTGATATCATTGTACCAAGGTAGGGCTATGGTACAATGATATCCTCAGTTCATAGGGTATCCTCAGTTCATAGGGTAATAGATTCCAATTCCGTGCAATTCTAACTAAGAACGATCTCGCACAAACATCTCTATAAATCCTTGGTATAACTATTTGAGGATTTCTTGTTGAATGAGAAAACACAAAAATACTGTATAGAGATGTTGGTGTGCGACATTTGATAATATTATAAAAGGCAACAAGAATTCTATAAGACACAAAATCGGTAAAAGAACACCCCAGAAAAAGTTTAACATATCTAGATATATGGTTCCTTCGGGGAAGGTTGTAAACAAAACGAACAACTGATTTTAAAATTCTCTGTAAACGTGTAAAACTGGTCCCGATACAGCCCGAGATTACTTCCAAACCATATAGGATGTTAGACATCAGTACAGCATGAGCTAAATATTTTCTAATACGAAGAGGCATATATAATTTGGCGGAATAGATCTTTCTCAACAAAAAGCAAACTCTCCCAGATAAAGCATCAATATGTTGTCTAAAAGAAAGCTCATTATCCACTATAACACCTAAAATTTTGTGGTGAGTAACAAATTCAATATTATTGTAATTTAAATGGACATTGATATCGGAAGCCGTATTATTCCTCTTACCAAACATCAAAGCCTTAGTTCTTGACGGATTAATTGTAAGATAATTCGCCGATGCCCAATTAGAGAATTGCTGCAGACATTCGTTTACATTGCTTTCAAACAAAGATAAGTTATCACTATCTCCAGTTAAAATGAAGAAAATGTCATCAGCAAACTGCAACGTTTCACAAGATTTGAACTGCATGGTATCACGCAAGTCATTAACATAAAGAAGGAATAATATTGGTCCCAATATAGAACCTTGCGGTACACCACTATTTAAACTCACTGGGTCAGATTGGTTACCAACAAAATGTGATCTATCTGATAAATGAATAAATCAATTTACAGGCAGTTCCAGAAAAATTAAAATTATCTCTTAATTTAGTGATTAAATGAGCAAAGTTAATGGAATTGAACGCTTTTGACAGATCAAGAGATAAAAGGACACTTAATTTTCGATCATTAATATTATGGCGGATGAAATCAGTGGCTTGTAAGTGTGTGGTGTTGTGCCTTTGCCGGAATGCAAACTGTGTGTCAGATATCATATTTGAAGTGTATTCCAAAATTTGATTCTTCAAAATCATTTCCATAATTTTTGAAATTGCTGGTAGGATTGATATTGGACGTAGGTCATCTGGAATTTTTGCGTTTATTGTTAATTTATTCAAAATCAATGCAACAAGTAGATAATATACAACAATGTTGCATTGGCTTCGAATGTATTTCTGATATTACAATCAATACATGTAGGCCTCTTTACTTGTACTTTTTTCCAACTCAGCCTACCTTGTCTTCATTCTGTACAGACATGTCACAGGGACGAAATTCGAACGAAAGTGTCATTAATTTTATATTAAGGTTCTTCAAGAAACGAAAAAAATGAATTGAAACCACTTCTGATTTTTTTTGTTAATTGTCCCAATTTTAATTGATTCTCAGTTGACGAAGTTTGTTTTTGAAAACTAGTTTTATTTTTAGGCAAAAAGGTATTACATATGATAAAATGAAGCAAAGATTAAAAACAAAACAACAACTCGAAAAAGACATTTTGTGCAAAAATGTAAGAATTTTGAAATATGCGTTTAAAAATGTTAACGTTTAAATCATTTAAGGGCAAGCGCAGGAATTTATTTATAAGTTAAAACTAAAAACATCTCTAAAATTCCTCCGGCTCATTTTTTCAGTATTGTGTTCATTATTTTGCAATTTTAGAACAACCGAAACTCCCGATATCTGTAAAAATTAATAAAATTTATGTTCTTTTCGAAAGAAAGCTTTTATTTTTTGTCATACTTACAATGAATAATGAGATTTTAGTAGTTCACCAAATCGATCGGAATCTTGAGAAGCTAAAACAAAAAAGATCGATTTTAAATTATGGAGTTCAAACCATTCCGATTGGAATTGGTGACATGCCAATTAACGCTTTCTAAAATTGCAATATGTTTATATAAAAATATATATATTTTGATTTCAAATTGAAATAAAATAAATCTTCCCTTTAACGGTTATCGTCGTCGTCGCAAAATGAATTCGAGGCGACAATAACGGTATTAGGGTCGTCCGTTTTTGTCGATAGCGATGAATGATTGCTATTATCATTGTCGATACAACAGTCGACGTCGTTTTTAGAGAATATCTGTCGCCGTAAAAATTGTGACGATATTGTATTTTTTAGTCGACGTTGATATTTTAATAATTTTTATTTGACATTTGACCATGAAAATAACAACAACAAAACAATTTTGAAATCATTTCCGACACTGGTCTACTAAGATTCTAGCTCTAAAAACCTCAATGCTGTGGTCAATTAAAACAACTCTTTAATTTTTCTAAATTTTTTGCAGTTGTAGGTATTTTTACCCTGTTTGCGGGTAACCATTATCGCGATTCCCCAGATTTTTGACTCGAAAGTCCGGGTTCAAGACCCGGATCCACTTACCCAATATAAGTAACGTTTGAAAGCTTACGAAAATACCTATCCAACAGAAAACTTTAGTTCGCCTAGCCGGTTGAACATACCCAGAAGAGAATATCTCTTGTGCTATTAGCACAAACTAAGATAAGAGTGTCAGCTATAATCTGGCATCAATTTTGTTGGGCCCTTTTCGACTTTTTGGGGGTTTTATTAAATATACCATTGGAAAAGATTTAAAAAAAAGAAGAGTTATTACTAAACTAGATTTAAACCGGCGAATTTAATGTCAGGCCTTAGAGCCAAGAGCCTTCTCCTCTTCATCCTCAATTGAACTTAAGAGATGTAAAACATTTATTATATTCATTGTCACTATATTTTTTCCGAAAGAGAAGAAATTAACATCCAAAATACAAATAATTTTTTTATTTTTCTTGCCAACAAAAGGGAGTGTTGCCAATTGTTTTAAACTGTCGATGTCGTTTCGAAGCGACGGCGACTTGCACATCACGTCGACTACGACTATTAGAAGCGAAAAACGTAATTGGGCCGAATAATTCACGAGCTATTATTATTTTCTTTGTAATGATGGATCAGCTGTTATCTTACAAACAAAAATATGTTTTGCAAGATGTTGTTCATTTACTTTTTGCAATTTCTCCCGAGATAGAGAAAATAGTGTTTTTTCACTGGTACAGTAAACGAACGAACCTAACATGTTTATGATTTTATTTGTTTGTTTCAAAAATGTCAGAAAAGTAACCATTTTGGAAGGGGTCAGATTTAAGGAAAGGGACATAGAAACATTTAAAAATGTGCAAGTTTTAGTTATTTTCTAATTTATTTATCGTGACAAAATTAAGTACATTTATTACATCTTTATTGCATTCATTACAACTTAATATATTAACAAAACTGGTAATTTATTTATTGCAAACAAAAAATTAACACATGACAATTTATTTCAAGTGCAAAAATCGCCAATTACAGAAGTGATATTTTAAATTTATTCAATTTTTGATAGTGGGTGTTACAATTGTTTTCGAGAATTCTAGACATGAGAATATAATAAAAATTAATACGTTAACGACGAATCTAGAGGGGCAAGAGTGCGCACAACACACACGGCCAATGATATTTGCCATATTGGAAACACTTGATCACCATACTCCTCTACAGTGGAGGGAAAATTATTAAGCCTCACTTAAAATGCATGCGACGCGATCTTATTTTGTCCGCCTGACTTCAAGTTCTCGAACACCGATATCCACTTGCGTCGTACGTTGTTGTCTACTTTTAATGATTTTCACGATAGTGTGTGTGTACTGTTGTTGTTTGTTGTACTCCAATCCAATCAATCCGGCAAACCTACACTAACCCGTTTGGTCGCTGTGCTGCGAATATTACGACGCGCTGCTGGTTTCTCAGATGTGGGCGACTGAGTCGCATCATTCTCAGCTATAATTGCACCATCATGAAAACATAGACTACTGCGCAAATGTTTTCGAGGTTTGTTTATATCAGCCGACATCGTTGATGGTGACTGCGATGCACCTGGTGTACTACTTTTTTGTGTCAATTCTGGAGAGGGAGATCTAGTAAATCTCCTTGAAGCTATTTTATTATTTAATTTATTAGTTGTTCGATCAATGTTTGCTTGGTGGCTGTTGTCACAAATATTTCTGCTACTTTTGTTGTTCATAGCTTCATAGCTATCTTCATAGGGACGTGCATCGTCTTCATATTCATCGTGTGGGTTGCTTTCATAAAGACGTTGCAAATTTCCACGTTTTGTAATATCCCTAGTAGGAGATGTTCTGGTACGTCTATTATCCTCAACGGGTCGCTCATCGTCGTAATACTCATCGCGATAATAATGGTACCTTCTCGGTGGCGATGACTCGATTCGAACCTTTCTCATTCTCTCGCCAATTTCGGCTTCGTCACGATGTAAGATTTCGTTTCTAGTTCGAGAGCCATACTGTGATCGGATATCTTTCTTAGTGTCATTTTGTATGCGTCTATACTGCTTTTCATCAACGAAATCTTCCGAATGGTCACGGATTTTATAACGTTGATGAGAATTTTCTCCAAAATCTCGATCATCTTCATACTTTCTATGGAATCTCTCCCTAGGTAATACTGATCTATTCGGTTTTTCATAATAATCCCCATCATTTTCATACTGTGTTTCCACCGGTTCCCTGTCGTAGCGTGAATCATAATTATTTCTTTCCCTCGATTTTACATTAGATCTATCATAAATTTCATTTCTGCCTTCGCGATATTCCCTTGTGTTCGCTTTAGATAAATTAACTTCTTTAATTTGTCTTGATGGCCTTTCCAATGTTTTGGTGCTACGATTATTAATCTTCGGCATATCTTTCTCCTCACTAAGACTTCGCGCATCTCGTTTTATTTGTAATTTGGGACTATTTTTGGAATTTAATTCCATTTCACGTTTGTCATTCATATCCATTTTGGGTTTTCTAAAGTTGTTTTGTTGAATTTTAGCTTGTGCTTCGGCTTCTTGTTCATTCACAAAGTCATAGAACTCGATTTTCGACATATAAGCCTGTTTTCGTTTGGCAGTAGTGTAGGCTTCATCGACAATTGTTTCCGGCAGTTGCAGTTTGGTGGCAGTTGGCTTTTCCGTTAGATCTGTCTTTTTTCCTACACCCGATCTCAGTAGAGCTCTCCTATTTGGAACGGGATTATTTTCACTCAAATTATCATAGAATTGTATTGAAGATTGTGAAAATTCTTTGCTAAATCTTCGTTTAGTATCCACATCATTGTCTCCACCCACGGAGAACTGTCTTGTACAGCTGGGTTTATCACTAGCCTGTAGCTGCACACTATTCCGCCGTTTAAGTTTACATTCAACGGCCGATTCAGCTTTGGTGTCGTCGGGCCAAAATAGATGTGATTCCAAACGGTTCGGTGCTGTCCCGCCTCCTCGTTCTATCATTTTAGGCGGAAGGCCCGTAAAGAATTTTCCATTTAACATTCTGACTTTGTCCGGCTTGGGGTTTTAAACGTGTCTTATTCGTTCGATGGCTTAAACTCTACTAAATTGAATTGACCGCTTATTCTCACATTCATTCATCGATCGTGAGTTGTTTGTTTCAAAGAAAAATGTCGCTGTTTCGTTTTGTGTTTGACACTCTGTAGGCGTCACTCTGAATAAACTTTTGGTAGTTAACTTAACTGACATAATCGAAATACAGTGACTATAAATTGTAATATGTTTGATGTTTTGTATTGCTTGACCTTTTGTAGTTATTCAATATCTGAAATTGCTTTTGCAAATAAATAGAAGATCTTTTCAGTCCTTCTATATACAGACTTCCTTTGCATCTTCTGTAGATAGAAGACTTCTTGCAGACATAAAAGCATTTGCAGAAGATATTTTGTGGGTCATCTTAAGATATAAAACTCTTATGGAGGCCTTCTGAAGGTAGAAGTCATTTCAACGTCATCTGATGTTGGAAGTCCTTTTGCAGACTTTCTTAAAATAAATCCTTGCTAGGTCCATTGAATATTGAAAATCTTTTGTAGGTCTCAGATACGTGGAATATCTTTACGATGTGTTTTAGAGTTATTTACATGTTCGAAATGGCTATTGAAGGAGTATAAAATTCATTTTTCTGTTGTTTTCTTTATGGTTTTGATACAAATACATTTTAAACACTGTAATAAACAAAATCAGTTTTGCTGTTATATGGAAAAGTCTGAAAATATAAAGCGGCATATTCAACTGAAGCACAAACAACTTGGCTTAAATTTATTATTTATTCTTTTAATTTTATTTTTCTGTTTTTTTTTTGATTTTGTTTAAATTTTTGGTTTTGCGACAAAATGCCAACTTCAAGTTTCTAAATTTGGTTAGTAGTGTGTGTCGTTGTCATTGGAAGGAATAAATGACTGAATGAAAGATTGAACGTATGTAGCTAGCTGGTTGAATTTCTGGTAAGCAAAGACTGACAAATGTTGTTGTTGGGATTGGTGGTAAGTCGCATGTAATAACGTTGACGTCAAAGATCACTTAACCAACTATCGAAGTATTTGAGAGCACAACTTAAGTGACGACAAGTTGACATGTTATAGATAAACATCATTTTGAAAATTTGTAGTTTATTAAACAAATTTGTATTATTTTGATATTATCATTTCGAACTACACACTTATGGAGTAATAAAATTATATGTTTATGTGTCGTATTTAATTACCTCAAATGATCATAAGATCCGCCAACAGAGTCTTTGGTCGAGTTTTATTTATGTCTAATAATAAAATTGATTGACATTTAGCCGTTTGCTATTCTAATATTCATATGAGTGATTCTTATCAATTTAAAATGACACAATGTTCTTATTTAATACAAAAGCAAAAATGAAGGCTGATGGTGAAAGTTTGGAAGCTGAAAGTTTGTTAATAGTTCTTCTTTAAGAGATTATTTGTAACAAATTTTGCATCAAATAAAATGTATGACATCGTATTTTTTAGTCGGCGTTGATATTTTAACCATTTTGTATTTTATATTTGACCATGAAAATGACAACAGCAAAGCAATTTGGAAATATTGAAGTATTTTCCGACACTGGTCTAATAAAATCCTAGCGCTAAAAACCTCAATGCTGTGGCCTATTGAAACAACTCTAGTTTAGTAAAAACTCTTCAATTCTTTCGAAACATTTTCCAGAGGTAGATAATTTTACTATTTTTTTTTTCTAGGGGGCGGACCTGGGACCCCAGATTTTTGACTCGAAAGTCCGGGTTCAAGACCCTGATCCACTTACCCGATATAGGCAATATAGGTATCGTTTGAGGGCTTATGAAAATCTGAAACTTATCCAGCAAGTGATCACATTACCACCGAAGGCGGCTACTTACAACAACTATTAAATTTAGAAAACTTTAGTTCGGGAAGCCTGTTGAACATACCCAGAGGAGAATATCTCTGGAACAAGAACATTTATAAGCACAAATATAGCATTTTGGAAAAGTAAGAGCGTCAGCTATTATTTGACATCATTTTGTTGAAAATAAATCCTTGTCTAAAAAATCGATAATTTGACTATAACTTCCGAATCGCTTCAAATAACCTTATCAAGGGTAAAAATACCTACTACTGGAAAAAAATCCAAAAAATTGGAGCGTTTGGCGAAGTTTATATTAGCACATGCTAAAAGAAGTACTTGTTAATTCTGAAGTAATTTAAAAATCTAAAAGAACACATTAAGTACATATTTTAATTAAAATATGTCAACTCATTTTTAAACTGTCGATGTCGCTTCTATGCCTTACCGTAATATCATTTTTAAATTGAAGCGACGGCGACTTGCACGTAACGTCGACGACGATATAGAAACGATAAGCGTGATTGGATCGAATGAGTTTTTAGAAATCATGTTCAGTTTATATAAAATTTTAACTAATTAACGTTCATAGCATGGTGATGATTTACGACATATCATATAGGGATGTTGTTTTTACAATGCATGTTCTTATTAGGCGTGTACTATATGATTCCCAGTAAAAAATTTAATTAGCAACTTCTATAGAGAGAGTTATTTTTCTCACACACAATTGTTGTACGTGGTACAATTAAGAAGGTAAAGTTATGCAATCATATGTTTACAATTTTTTCAATATTAAACATTTGACAACATCGCATTGTCAAAATTTATATTTATTTAACGATTGTATGTATACAAACCAGAGTTGGGAACCTGTTTTTTATGCACTGACATTTGACAAGGTAAATTGCAGAAAGTGCAGAGATGAAAATACTTTCTTGAAGTGACTTTACCCTCTTAATTTTTTTTTACTATGACTATTGTACAGTATTTAGTAAAATCTGGGAAGAAAACATCCGCTTTAAATTTATTTCACATCAACATGCCTTGCTCTCACAGTTCTTTAAGAAATATTTGTTAACAAACCACAATCATAGCTCTGATAAACCTTTTTAAAAATTCTTAAAATGTGCAACTTTAAAACCTCCAACAAATTTATATAAGAATCAATATGCATAGCTCACTTGAAAAACATTCGTAAATTCACGATGCTCAAAAATATGTTCTTTAAAAACCGCGGTAGCTCTGTAAAGAAGTTCACAATATTAAAATCTAAAACCATTTCTAAAACCATACACAAGAATTCAAAACACTTCAAAACTTCGGACACGTTTTTATTGAAATATTCATTTGTTTTTTGTTGTTGTTTCAGTAGTTTAATTAAATACAATATTGGAAATATTGATACATATTAATTTTTGTTCCATATTAAGTTTTCGTATTTTTTTCTTGTTTGTTTTTAAAACTACCAATTCTCATTTTGTGTGTGTGTTCTGTGTATTTATGTACTTTTCGTCTATCATTCTGAATTTCCAAAAACACATTCAATACTTCTTACAAATACATAAAATACATTGTATCATAATCTAATTTATCAATAATTTATTATTAAAATCATTATATTTTTATTTTGTTAATGGAGTTTCGGGTTTATTGTTTGTTTAAAATGTGTGTATGTTTTTTTTTCTGTTTCACAGAGGCATACTCTACAGTCCCTCAGAAAGTTTGACAAAAGTATTGCGGAATTCCATCTATATCATAGTACATGTGTTTGTTTTAAAACATCAGAAGGGCATTCCATATATATTTGTCAATAAACTTGCTGGTTTACTGTAGATATTGTTTAGAATAAGCACAAAAACAAATTATAAATTAAATTAATTGTTTTTTATTTCAAATCAAATTCTATAAAGAACACAACTGAAAGATGATGTTTACAAAAATAGATTTTCATAAAAATTTCGTTTGCCGGATATGTAAAATTTTATTTTTATGTTTGCTTCTTTTTGAGATACATTAAAATTTCATTTTCAAATGTTCCATAATTTACAGTTTTTTTAAAGCATTTCATGCAAAACTACAATTTGTTAGCCAATTCAAAGATAAACTTTTTTCTTTATTAGTGGTTTACTTTTTGTATCATTTGATTCATCTCCTCGGAGTCGTTCATTTATCAATCTACTTATGATAATGGAATTAAATTTTGGGGGGTTAGGGTTCGATCTATTTTTAATGTACTATTTACAATTGACTGGCAACACTAGTAATACAAATAAAACTACAATTGGATGGCAACCCTTACAACAATATCGACAAATGATCGTAATGTAATATGAGGACATAACGCATCACTGGTAATTAAAATCTGTTATTTTTTTCTTTTGCAAAATATAAACATATTTACCACCTGGGGCTGGATTCTTGTTCTATGAAAATATGAAATGAAAAATATTTCAATTCACAATTTCGTAGAACAAGAACTGAGGCCATGCTGTTTGCGTGCGCAGGGAATAAATATGAGTTCATTTCATTCCATTTCATTTTTATATTTAACCTTCAATAACAGCGGTTTAGCGGAATACATTATATTTTAGAAAGTAAAGTAAATTTTGATTTGGAAAGTGAAGTTAGCGAACCATAGTGACAATGATTTTGCATTATCTGAATGATCAAGGGATCAACATTTAGAAAGTGTCACTTTAAGAGAAATCTACGCTTCATGGATATGGGACAGTTCCATATCATAGCCGATGTACTATTCGACAGTGTACTACAACCCAGCCAGCGAACTATGGATGCTATGGGACTTAAAAAAACAAAAAACTGGTATATCTTCAACACACAAATTTATGTTGGCTGGAATAGTAATGCCGCTGGTTAAGAATCAAATCACTATTTTGAGAAACAAAATAGAACTGAAATTCCTCAAGTTCTATTCGGCATATGTCAAAAGTCAATTTATCATACAGAAGTTGTATATCAACATAAATTACAAGCAGCATTTGTAACACTGCTCAGTACATGCCACATGAGAATACTGATCATAAGAAGCCTTACATCATTGAAAATTACGACAGTACGTACGTATGCAAACAAAAGGTCAATCTGTGCCCAATGGAAATATTTAGAAACATGGTCGATGTTATTGTGTTAAATTCATTTTTTATTTTCATTACAGTATTTCTCAAGTGGAAAAGTTCTAAAACGAACCATACTATTCGTCAATTTACGTTTCATTTATTATTGCTTTGTTCCAAAACTGCAAGAATGTAAAACTCTTTACTACCATAACCGATTTTTCATTTATGATATGGAAAAAATTACAAAATCAGTAGATTCTTGCACGGCCTAACCAGAAAGGTTGCTAAACCTCAAGAAAATAGGAAAAAATACAACTGTGTACCGGAGTTTTATAGTGTCAAACAGACTTTTAAATATGCAACAATTGGTTTTGCTTATTTTAATTTTTTTTTAACAAAATTCTTATATTGGGGAAAACCCAGATAACATAAATGGGAAGTTTGGGCTTATTTCACAAGTAGACAGTAGGACAATACAGTTTTATTCAAAAACAACTGTCACCCATTCGAGTCGAAAATATGAATTTATGTTGCAACTGAATTTGAAAACATTTCAAATTATTTCATTGCGTATTCAAAATAATTCACACATATGTATAAAATGTGTATATGTTTTGACAGGATAGGAGCACCAAAATAAAAAAATTGTGGATTCTTGCAGGTCGATATTACATCTACACTGTAAAAAGAGTAAACATTTCAAGTGTTCTGAACAAAATTTCAATTTATGCGAAAAATGTACAAATAATTAACTTTAATAAAAAGCCTCTACAATGTATCGAATAAGATTTGACTTACTTGTTCATTAACTTGTAAAAGTTCAATGGAATACGGAAATGTGTAGGTGCGGTTGGTCCCTCGAAAAGTTGAGTGTTTGCAAGTTACCACCCCCGAAATGGTTTTAAAATACATTTCGGCGTACGTCCCTGCTAACACATCATTTTGTTAAAAGTTCCAGCAATAATTTTAGCCAACATTTCTCTTTAAAGTAGTGAACATTTCGGGAAATTTGGCACCTATCGCAATAGAGTTCTAAAGGCCTCTCAAATACTCCCAGCAGCCTTTGAATACAGAAACTAATACGGTACATTACGATCATATAAAACATCCTTAACTTAAACTACGACCAATAATTTAATACTACATTTCAACTCGAAGTTAATACAACTATGACATTCATCACACTTCCAGCTCAATTTTGCATACCAATTGTTGTTGTTCCCGTACTAGTGGTTACAGCTGTTGCCGGTTGCATCAGAATGAAATTAGTTTTACCCTCTTTATCGGTTGTAAGTTGTAACAGTTCGGGTTTGTCGACACCGGACGAACCGGTAATATCACCGGTATGCGTGATGACACAATACTGATTTCCATTATATGTGACAATCGGCAGGGTACCAACCGATGTTGGGACATTTGTCGTTGTCAAATGATGTTGATGCTGTTGCTGATGTTGTGGCTGCTGCTGTTGTTGTTGTTGCTGGGTTTCTGTTGTGGTTTGAATATTCAGACCATTGAGATTGTTCAGCTGGGCTTGGACGTAGGTGGCGGCAGTTGGTGAATTTGCAATAAAGTTGGCAATCTAATTAAATGAAATTAATGGCGTTTTGAGTTTGTTCATCATTAAGAACTGTAATGTGGTATTGTTGTTGTCAGTCTCTGTGTATATGTGGAAGGAGTATGAGGAAGTGTAATTTATTTTCTTTAGGTTCTTATTTTTAGTTGATTTTAAAAGTGTTTCCTGTTTGTTGTAAATGTGTAGTTTTTGCTGTTGTCTAATTAATCTGTGATTTGCAAATATTTACATCTTGATTATTGCCATTATTGTTGTTGCTGCTGCTGCTGTTATTTGTGGGGTTGGCATCTCTATTGTCGACATTTACAGTCGTTATACCAGAAGTGGTTGTACTAAAAATGGCCGGTGGTTGGGTTAATTTCTTTGGTGCTCTCTTAACCACATTTTGTTGCTGCTGCTGTTGTTGCTGTTGTACTTCAGCAATCTGTTGCTGCTGGTGTTGTTGTAAATTGATGAACATTTGATTTTGTATGATTATCTTTTCTTTACGCTGCGACATTTCATCATTGTTTGCGTTATTGTTGTTCGTACCACCACCGTTGTTGCTATTGTTGTTACTGTTCGTAGTTGTATCCAGTTGATAGTTGTTCTGATTTGCCATTTTGGTTGGTTTTCCAGTATCCGTTGTTTCCTGTTCCTGGTGTCAATACTGAAAGGATTTTGAAACAATCTTTATTAATATCATTATCAAGTTATATACTACTATAACACACTTTGTGAGTAGTGTTAAATTTTTATGGAGGAGTCCCAATATTTGGGTGTTACTGTGGATCTTAATTAAATAATTTAGTTAGAAAATCGGTATATACCATTTTGTAGTGACTACATATAAAGTGACTTTTTATACCAAAAATTCTACTTACTATTTAATATATAAATATTAAATTACAAGTTTGAACCATGTGGTCATAACGTACAAAGAAAATTGTTTAATTTTTCCCTGAAGATATTTCAGTTAAGTTGGAAAATTTAAGTCTCAAATTCTAACAAAATAGGCATTAATTTCACATTTTTGACTCTTGTTTAACTCTCCAACAAAAATATTCAATATTGGTGTACTTTTTAGTATAGACCAGTATACCCAACAATACTCCTGCTTTTCCGTACTTCAAATATGTTTATCTTAATTTCTAAACAAATGATTGCCATTTCGGGCAGTTTAACTCCTCGCAACAGTATTCAATGTAGATCCAGTTTTTGGAATAAAGGCCATAAATCAAAACATACGATGTGTTTATTAGTTTTATACTTTGCCAGAAACTTCCACCCATGATAAAACTATTAATTTAGGTAGCCTTTAAATGTGAATTTGGCACATGACACGTGAACTTTAATTGAAGCTCTTTAAATTTTGTTAGATCGATTTTAACTATTTTCGATCGATTTTAGCAGCCAAAGAAATGTCTTGTTCCTTAAAACCTACACCCTCTTGCGCTTCGAACATATTGCTTTCGACAAAGAAAGCGCCGCACATTTTCTTCTTTTTTTTTTTCCTAATATATTTACTACCGACTTTTGCTCACCTCCAAATGACTCTTAGCATGCAATGTCCATTCATCACGGTTGGAAAACATGCGACCACACAATTCACAAGTCCATGACAACTGTTGCTGGGCATGATGATGTGGTATTATGATGCCGGGTATCGATGTGGTCTGTGTTGTGCCACCATGTTGACCACTTGACGTTTGCACAATTATATTTTGGGCTGCTACTTGGACCGCTTGTTGTTGTAATTGCAATTCCAGATTTTGTTTATTGTCCTCTGTTTCGGGCTCTTTCTTCTTTACCAGATTATTGAGACGCTTCCCAAGTGGTGCAATATTTGTGGGTGTTACATGTTTGAATTTGTTCATATGAATGACAAGTTTATCACGGCGAGCAAAAGCTTTATTGCAAACCTGAAAAATAGTTATGGTTTATATAATTAATAATTATTTTCAGATAATTGAAATAAAATCTATCTATAAAATTATACTTCACAAATATAAGGCTTCTCTCCGGTGTGTATACGCATATGTATGGTCAATTTATCCTTGCGTGCTAATCCTTTTCCGCACACTGTGCATTCAAATGCTTTATTGGTGGCTGAAAGTTATAATGTATGATAACAATGCCAAACGCTTTTATAGGATTTACTTACGTTTAGACGGATTCACTTTTCGTACACCTGAAGAAGCCTGTTGCACTTGTTGCAGCGCCTTAAGACGGCTGGCCGGATGCATAGAACCACCCTCAACATAGGGTTCTGTAAATGGGATCAAATTCGGCTTGGGTATATTATAAGTTATATTGTCTGAAGACCAGGTGCCCAGACTTTGTAGAACTCGGACGCCACCTTCGAAGCCCATGCCAACATCATCTGGTACGGTAAATGTGCTATCATTACCGGCTGAACTTGAGGAACTTATTTGTGGTACTTTAATGGTGCTCGTATAGTGTTGTTGCTGCTGTTGTTGTTGCTGTTGTTGTAATTGTTGATTTGTGTTATTACTGTTTGTGTTATTATTATTACTGTTACTGGTATTGTTGTTATTGCTATTGGGAGAGTTTTGCTGTTGTGTTTGATTAGTATTGGACGTTTGTTGTTGCTGCTGCTGTTGTTGTTGCTTAAATTGTATAGCCGCCTGGGCCATTTGCTGTTGCACTGCCATATGTGCCTCCAAATATGCGTTCTTTTGAGCCACTGTCATTTTATCCATATTCACTGTGCCGTCCTTTTATCAAAAACAACAAATAAACAAAAAAATAATGATTTGTTAAACATTTTGTTCAAAAAATACAGAAAGTCCTAAAGTTTTGTAAAAAAATACACTTTTCTATGCCGCCAACATTAGACAACTAACGAAAACAAACAAAGCCATTTCACTTTCAACCCTTATGGCGCTCCCATTTTTGTGGTTGTTTTAATAGCTCTCACGAGCTAGGTAGCTTTCTCTGTTCTCTTTCTTGTGCCATTCGATTGTTTGAATGTTACCACCACCGTGTTTTCATTTCCTGAAACACTGGGAATGAAACATTGAACTTTTTATCTCAATGTCATGTAGCAACAGTGATGCTAATATTTCGTAATAACAAAAATGCTAAAATTAAAAAACTGAACGGATTTTATACCGGGACATTTCACTGCATACTTTGATGCAGTCATGAGTACGGAGTGTAAAAAAGGAAATCAAAGTTTTGCTGAATACTTGGAGGTTTAAAAATCCAACCAATCGTGAAGTCAATTTGACTTTGGAAAGATTAGCTGTCTTCAGAAGTGTTAATTTTTTTCTTAAATTGCAACATTAGAAATTACAAAAAGCATAGTGTATTAAATGAATAATTAAAATATATATTTTTTATAACTTTTATTTGAATATTTTTCAAATTGAAGTTATTTTATAAATAAACATTAACAATTCCCTCCAAGGAGTGCCTTTTTGCCCTTCAGTGCGCACAAGTAAATCACGTGCAATTGTGGTAAAACAGAATGCATCCTAACCTGCGGATCCTCTTCTAAAATTCATGAGTGGTACACAAAAGATGCGGTGCAGCGCCACTTGTACCGGTTAATGAACTGCATTTTTGTGTTTTCCTGGATATGTGTATGATTATATATACTAGATTCAAATGACTGCTAATGACTGGAATGGAACTACCCACTATGAAAAGTTCTTAAAGAGACGACTGACTATTTTCGCAGGTTCTTTAATATGACCATTGATTAGAAACATAACTTTGTGATATTTCTGTCGAATGTGTGATAGTAGTACTATCTTCTATATCTATAAAAAAAGGAAAATTGCTGTATGTTTGTTTGTAATTTACTCGAAAACTGCTGCCTTAAAATTTCCAAGTATACTACAACATCACCTGAAAGTAGCATAGGCTATAAACATTTTTGGAATTCCACTTCGAACTGGAGTTATAGCATCAGAATCAGAGCTACCTCCCAAATATTTACATTTTATATGGACATATATATTGATCGATTACAGATACAGTCTCCAAATTTGGAAACAGTGACAGAAGTTGATAAGAAAATATATTTGCCAAATTATATTTAAATCGGTTCAGATTTGGATATTGCTCCCATATGTATTTTCGGCTGATTTCGTGTATTTGATGCATTACACACGCTGTGTACGCTACATTTCAATGAAATTTGGGATGTGTGATGGAATTTATCTAAAAAAATTTGTTTGCCAAATTATATTGAAATCGATATTTGGATATAGCTCTCACATATATTTTCGACCGATTTCGTTTATTTGATGCCCCAATCACGATATGCACGATATGTTCGATTCCAATGAAATTTTGAAATGTGTGACAGGATTTGATAAGAAAATGGATGGGTCAATTTATATTGAAATCGGTTCAGATTTGCATATAACTCCCATATATGTTTTTGACATATTTGATGCACCAAGCACGATTTGCATGTTCGATTCCAATGATATTTGAAATGTGTAACGGGATTTGTTAAAAAAAAACTTGTCAAATTATATTCAAATCGGTACAGATTTGGATATAGCTCCCATAAATATTCTTGACCGATATCGTTTATTTGATGCCCCAAACACGATTTGCATGTTCGATTCCAATGAAATTTGAAATGTGTGACGGGAATTGATCAGAAAATTAATTTTGTCAAATTCTATTGAAATCGGTTCAGATTTAGATATAGCTTCCATATTAATTTTTGGTTGATTTCACATATTTGATGCACCAAACACGATACGTATGTCCGAATCCAATGAAATACCGCATGAGTGACTTAATTCGATGTGTATGTTCGATTTCAATATAATTTGGAATGTGTGACGGAATTTGTTAAAACATAAGTTTGCCAAATTATATTCAAATCGGTACAGATATATTTTTGACCGATTTCTTTTATTTGATGCACCAAACACGATTCGTATGTCCGAATCCAATGAAATGCGGCATGAGTTACTAAATTTGGTACAAAATTTTGCCAAATTATATTGAAATCGGTTGAGGTTTGGGCATATCTACCAAACACGATATGTATGACCGATTTCAATGAAATTCAGAATGTGTGGCGAAATTTATATCTCCCATATATATATATTACCCCCGACCTCATGTATATTATGTACCAAACACGACATGTATGACCGATTCCTATGAAATTCAGAATGTGTGGCGGAATTTGGTTTGTCAAATGAATTAGAAATCAGTTAAGATTTGGATATAGCTTCAATTTATATTCTTAGCCGATTTCACATATTTGATGCATCAAACACTGTATGTACCTCAAATTTCAATGAAATTTGGAAGGTGTAGCGGAATTTGGTGTAAAAGTAAATTTTATTTAGAAGCATCAACCCACAACACATTAGCAATGGTATTAGGCTAACAGTAAACAACTACACAACAATTTAATTGAGACATTTGCTATGAAAGTAATGAATCTGCGTGTATGCAGACTAAATTTATCATGTTCCTGCTTTTTTCATGGTTAGCTGTTCCTGGCATGTTCACGCGTTAGTAGACTGAGCTATTTGTTTGTTTACGCATTTAAGTATTAAAATAATTACGTTTTTTAAATTTTTGAATTAGTTTTATTTATTTTTTAACTATCAAATATTCTTGTATAAACTCTTAAATACATATAAAAGCAAAAAGAGTAGCGAAGCGCGCCGGTTTCAGCTAGTATACTATAAGTTTGCATAGGTTTTATGATTTATTTTAAAAATAATGGGAGATACAGTAATATATACATCAATAAATTATTAGTGTAAACTCAAAAAAAAAAAAAAAAAAAAAAAAAAACAAAAAGAATGATAAAAATAAAAGCGAAAGCTACTCATCATTTGACGGAAAATTGCACAATTAGCTTCATTGTTCCACTATGTTCTTGAGAGAAAGAGAAATCGTAATGATTATATTGTTCAACGGTAACTTTAATGTTTGTTTCTCTTTTGGCTCTATTTCTATTATTCTTTTTCTTTTGTAAAATGGTTTCTTGGTACCATTGAATTTTTATATTTTTTGTCGGTTTTTCTTTGTTTGCAAATTCTTGCATACTTATTCATACGAGCACACATACGTACACAGCCAAAGAGTGCGTATATTTGCTATTCCGCTTTTTTGTAATATAAAAGCCGGATGCAATTTCAGAGGTTTGAGGTTCAAGTGTGTATTTCATGGTAAAAGTTACACAGAAATATTGAAATCACTGTACATATATACAAATTTATTTATATACATGAATGTAATGGGAATATAAATATAATTTTTTTTGGTAATTTTTGTTCTCTTTTATTATTACATATAGATTTATTTGTTTCATTTGGCAATTGAAGAAATTGAAATTTTAGAATCAGAAATAACAACAAACTCAGTGTTCATTTGGACGTATCTGCCATATATCTAAATGCTACAGTTCATATATCTAAATGCTACAGTTATTGCAAAATATATTCAATCAATATAGCAACTAAAGAACTCATCAAAAACTCATTCCGATTCGGTCCAATTATACAAAATCAACATTTTAAGATATCTCATACAAGCTCAAGCAAATCAAATCATTGGGTCCAAAACTTCGTACTTCGGTAGGGATATGTTCACCCATATAGGTAACGTAAGGAACATGGAACGACACAGCTCCTGGTACAATAAACTGTCAAACCAATTTTAGAATTGAACTTTTTAATGAAAATTATTGAAATTATTATAATAACCTCCGTATAAGAAAACATATACAAATCTACTTATATTCGAAAAAAAAAAAACATTTTAAAATTGTTCATATATCAATGTTCCCAAGCGTTGATGTATATACCTGTATTTTTCTACCATGAAAAGACTACGCTGACTTTACCAAAATAAAGTTAAAATTTTGAAAATTCGTTCTAATTCATAGCAAATAAAATTGTCCCCTATTTGGTCTAAAGTCTGCATTTCTCATACTTCTAGAATGAGGTAATATTGGTGCACCTTGCATGTTCCAAACAAATGGTCTGTTCAAGAACCTGCATGGTTCTAGTAGTTTGTTTCGATATCATAAAAGACAAATGGGCTATCGTAGCAAAATGTTAAATTCACATTCCTGCGATTACAAATATTTTCTGATTTATTTGGGAATTTGGAGGATTTAGTCAACATTTCGAATGAAAAAAATCAAACTAAAAGTTTGTCTTTATTGTCATATGAATAGACTCCAAACTTGAACATCGTCTTACTACTTTCAAAATAATATAAATTTAGAAGATGAACTACATTTGCCAACACTTTCTAGTACATTTACGACTGTTTTAATTATATTACTTTCCGATGAAATAGGGAAGATAGTTCAAATTTTCGAATAATCTTGTGAGAATATATATTACATATGTGTACACATTTCTATACAAACATATATTTTTTGCCTTTTTTAATTGAATAAGACTATTATAAATTTTGTTTTTGTAAGCGTTCTCCTTTTCTCTTTGATTTTAACTTTTTTGTAAACATACATACATAAAAATTCTGCCCGACTTAATGTATTTCACTTTTCACAATTGCACAATATCCTTATAATAAACCATATTCCGGCTGGTTAAGTAATTTGCAGTATTAGATGGATTTCTTTGCTGTTCGAATCTTTTCTTTTGCACTTGAAAACCCGGTGCCAATTTTATTTTCTAAGAATTCTGATATATCCGGCAAAGAACATTGTCCTTTATTGGTGTCCTTTTCAACCAGCAAACGATTGATATTT